CAGCCAGGTCTTAACATCAGATGCATAAAAGGAAATCGAAGAGACTGCCCAAATATTACCAGGATGAAAGGCAGGATAAATAGCACAGAGCTGAATGCCGGGATGGTCTGCCCTTCTGGAAGGGCAGCAGGTCTCCCCTTTTAACTTGGCATAGGGATTGCATAGCCCCACGCCGCGCTCTCCTCTGTACCAGTGTGTGCTCGTGCTGGGTTTGACAGCAGGATTGTGGGGTAAAATTACCCTCCTCTGTCTGTGGACAAAGCGTGTGGAGTGTCTCGGATGCTTCCACATATTCAAAGCCTGGGATCTGAGATCTTTCTTTCTCCAAAAGAAAAAAAAAGGTGAAAATGCATAAATCCTTTTCCACTTTTACGTCTTTGTGCCAGCAGATACCTGAATTAACATGCATGTGTTGCAGAGCTCCACGTGGTGGGGTGGAAAATTAAATGGGAGAGGAGGAGGCTTCTTGTACCAGGGAGCCTGTGAAATAGGTAGTGGGAACAGAGGCAGGTTGCACAGTCCTTGGAGGGAGAGAGTCCTGCTGGGAAGGTTCCAGGTAAGTCTTAGGAACCCCTTTGCTTAATGCTCTCAAGCTCCCTTTCTCTCTCAAGACCCCTAGGATTTTGCTAAATGCCTAATTTCTCTTTCAGCAGTGTTAGGATATGTGGAATTAGGAAAGAGGTTTGAAATTTCCACACCACCTTTAGTGGCTGCTAAAGGGAGTGAGTTACTTAAGACTAGAAACAAAAATTCTTCTTGCAAAAAAACGCCCAAAACCAAATAAACAAAAGCTGTGAAATTTTCATCCCTGCTGTCAGTATTTGTTTTTGGGGCAGCAGCCTTTCGCTGTGCTGTGGTAGCAAATTGCAGTCCTGGAATCCCGGAGATTAGAAACAAGCCTGAGTAGCAGACAGCTGGTGAATGTGTTTTAAAATTGTCTGTTTAACCCAAGGCTGCTCCACTGAATGCTTTTTTAACTCTTATACTTTTAGTTAGATGTGCGATATCTGTGGCCTTTCCATAAGCAGACAGCCTGCATGAATTGCATGCTTCCTATTGATGGAGCTGAGCGCAGTCTTGAGCTTCTGTTAACTCGCCAGCAGTAGTGTACTGGAAATTTCTGTTTCAGAAATAGGTCTTCTATAAATGATTTAACATCAGGCCATTGAAATGCATTTGTGTTTTCCTTCTTAGGGCTATTAAAGATGTAGAGAAAACATTTAGCACCAAATTAATGGTTGCATTTTTGTTTTAATCCTGCAGATGGGGTTGATTTATATCTCAAAAATAGGTGCTGCAGAGAGGAATTATGATATTACACAATTTTTCAGTTGTACTTAATTTTTTTCATGCCAATATTTTCAGCTAGATGCTGTCTCTTTAATGTGGTGAGTTTTCTTTTTCATTAACTGTAAGGCACTGCATTTTATCCTCTAGTTTGTATTCCTTTGTTGGTTGAAATGCTTGTCTGAGGTCTATAGTGATCGGGAAGCTGGGACCAGGCAGAAGGTGCAGGTGCCCTTACCCCCATCCCGTTCTTGTGGAGGGATGTAAAAGCAGAAGGGCGGCAGGCTGCCTGCAGTCTCTGGGGGGAGGCAGAGCTAGCTGAAGAGAAAGAAACAGTGCGCTCCTACATGCAGATAGGAGAGAAGAAGATGGGATTAAATGATAAGCAGAGATTTTGCACAATAGTGGCTGCTCTGATAAGATCTGGTTGGCTTTCCCTTGAGGATTGTACAGAGATAAACAGCCTTATCTCATTAGCACCTCCCTTTCCTCTTGCTCTCTGATGATTGCTTTAGGTTTGATGGCAGGTGGTGATGGCAGGACTTGCTCCGATCCGGGGTGCGGTGCTGGAAATGCAGCACATCCTGAAGCCTGAGATGTTAGGTCACGTGCCGTTCCTTGCAGCTGAGATTAGACTCTAGCTCAGTTCATGTATTTATGCTTGGACCTTCCTCCTCACAGTGTTTAGTGCTCTCAGTGCATGAAAGCAACCATTAGAATCACTGGATTTAGTTTTTGAATAAAAGAGCTTTCTTATACTCACTCCCACTAACACAACTCCTGGAGCAGCGATGGAAATGAGCTTAATTTTGTAACTGTGGAGAGCATGATGGTTGGGTCTTTGAAAATTGATCTGGCAAGTATTAAAAAAGAGAAGTGATGTTTTTTGATATGCTTTCAAGTTAGGTCACTAATGATATTACTGCAACATCGCAGTCGCTGAAAATGTCGGTTCTCTGAAAGAAATACACATTAGATGCTCCCTAAATGTTGTATGGAATACTGTCTTCAGTTTGGGGCCCCTCACTACAAGAAGGACATTGAGGTGCTGGAGAGTGTCCAGAGAAGGGCAACGAAGCTGGTGAAGGGTCTAGAGCACAAGTGTGATGAGGAGCGGCTGAGGAAGCTGGGGTTGTTTGGTCTGGAGAAGAGGAGGCTGAGGGGAGACCTTCTTGCTCTCTACAACTACCTGAAAGGAGGCTGTAGCCAGGTGGGGGTTGGTCTCTTCTCCCAAGTAACAAGCAATAGGATGAGAGGAAATGGCCTCAAGCTGTGCCAGGGGAGGTTGAGGTTGGATATTAGGAAAAATTTCTTCAGTGCAAGGATTGTCAAGCACTGGAACAGGCTGCCCAGGGAAGTGGTTGGGTCCCCATCCCTGGAGGCATTTAAAAGATGAGTAGATGTGGTGCTTAGGGACATGGTTTAGTGGTGGACTTGACAGTGTTAGGTTAACGGTTGGACTTGATGATCTTAAAGGTCTTTTCCAACCTAAACGATGCTATGATTCTATGATCCATGCACATCCCCACTTGCTAAAAATGGTATGAGCAATTTCCAGCCCTCAAATGCTTTTTTCACCAGCTCCTGCTGGAGGTTAACACTTCATATATGCTGGTTTATGTGTGTGATTGTTTGAGTGATCCTCTGACCTTCAGCCAGAAAAAGCAAAGGTTTAAAGTCATTAAGGTCTTTCCTGGGATATATTAGGATGTGCTCACCTGTCCCCCAGGCTGATTTGGGTCGGGGGGGAGTGGAGGGACACCCTCCGTTTTCATCAAATGGAGAATTGCCACTGTGATAAAAATAAGACTTTGCATTTATATAGTGTCATGTTAAACGAATCCACTTGGAAGCATATACGTACAGCATATTTAGCACTTAAATTAACCACGGTGGTTGAAGAATGGAGCTTTTCTCTTTTTTAATTTCATGTATTTAAACCCACCCTATTTTCTGGAATGTAGAGAAGCTAGCTGCAGATTTGTGCAATCTTGCATACTTTTCCTATGTGTTTTCTTAATGGCTCTACTCTTTGTTAATTGTGTCTCCTCAAAATTAGGCATGAATCCTGCACAGCTCTGCCTAGCTTTCACTGCAGGCATATCTCCAGCTAACTCTGTGGCACTACCAGCAAGGGCAAAGTGACAAGTACATGTTGATCATCACAGCCTCTTTAAGCCCAGGGACCTAAAAAGGGTTTAGAAATGAAAATACTGCTTAGCATGACAAAAACGTCCTCAGGTTAGGTTCCTCACTTGGAAGACTGGTGGTACATGTGAACTCTGCGCATTGCGGCGGCATGTCTTGCTGAAATTGCAGAAGTCCCCACTTTCACATCCCAGGTCAGGGAGGAGAGGAGATGCTTTTCAGCTGGTGGTATTTATAACTCATTTTGGACTGTAGCATCAGGTTATGTTTTTATGCCACTTGTTGCTGCCATTTAAATTTAAAATTTAAGAACAGCATTTCCCTTAAAAAAACTTGATCGTTATGTTGACTCTGAGGGTGTTCCCTGTCAGCTCTGCAGTAATGGCATCTGGGTTGAGAAGGCTCTCAACTTCATTTTAGGCTGTATTTCCAATGAAAAAAATTGGCCTTTGGCCTTAGAAGATATGCAGCTTGGAATATAGGTATTACCTTGTAGCAGAGCACCTTTAAATTATGCTCTGTGCATTTGCTTTGTGCTGTGTCCACAGCTGTGACTAGATGCAGGCAGCAATGCTGAGCAGAGGATGGAAAAGGCTTTGGGAATTAAGCCCTTGCAGATGAGCAGGTCAAAAGTAGAGGGGAAGAAAACTGAAACCCATCACTGGTTCTCTGAGTTCTTTGCTGTACCTATGTGGGTTAATCTAATCTCTTAATGTGACACTACAGTTGTCAAAAGCAGAGCGGAAACATTAATGTTGTGTATCTATTGTAGGCACTGTTGTGGTGCTACTGACTGTGGTGTGCTGGATCAGGAAAAAGCAGTTCTTCCAAATGATATGCTTCAGAGTGTGGCCAAAATAAAATGAAAAAACAGTTGCTACAATTCTCACAAACAGCTGTGAGAAGTTATCTGGAGCTCTGCTTAAAAACCTGTGTAGCACACCAACAGCTCAAGATTTGCAGATCTCTGTAACCTTTATTGGAAGTAATCTTCTGTTTGCATGAGCAGGAACTCCTCTGACTACCAGACTTGGGGAGAGCAAAGGCCCGTTTATTTCATATATCACTCTGATTTTTCTGGCAGACTGTTTATTGGGGGACAATAGCTTGGAAAAATGTGGTTGTCCTCATTGTGTTGGGCAGTGATTTGAGGATGTAGTAGAAAGGAGCATGGGGGAGCAGGGACGGATGAACTGTAAGTAGCTTTTTTTTTTTTCCTCTACATGAATGCATTGGAAAAGGCCAACTCGTGGCCCCATCTGCTTTGGTTTTGTTCCCTAACAAAGTATTAGTGGACAAACCCAGCAGTATGTTTTCCTACTTCTGAAACATCTGAAATAAAAGGTTTTAACTAGCATCCTTTTATATTTCTAAAGGGTCTTTTATCTGACTTTATCAGGAATGTATCAAGCCTCCAGCGGGGAAAACTTTGCCATTTAAAACATTTTTTTCCCCCTAAAAGTCGTCCTGAACCTCTGAAGCCCAAGGTACTCTTAGATGGGAAAGCTAAGATTATGCGGGAGCTGTAACTTTTAAAAAAAGTAATACTTTTCCTTTTTATACAGTGGGAAGAAATTGGTGAGGTGGATGAAAACTACGCTCCGATACACACATACCAAGTATGCAAGGTAATGGAACAGAATCAGAACAACTGGCTTCTGACCAGCTGGATCTCTAATGAAGGGGCATCCCGCATCTTCATTGAGCTCAAATTCACCCTGAGGGACTGTAACAGCCTTCCAGGAGGACTTGGGACTTGCAAAGAGACTTTTAACATGTATTACTTCGAATCAGATGATGAAGATGGGAGAAACATCAAAGAAAACCAGTACATCAAGATTGATACCATCGCTGCTGATGAGAGCTTCACTGAGTTAGACCTCGGTGACAGAGTTATGAAGCTAAACACAGAGGTGAGAGATGTTGGACCCCTAACGAAAAAGGGATTTTACCTCGCTTTCCAGGACGTGGGTGCCTGCATCGCCCTGGTCTCTGTGCGTGTGTACTACAAGAAATGCCCATCGGTGATCCGCAACCTGGCCCGCTTTCCTGACACCATCACGGGAGCGGATTCCTCACAGCTGCTAGAGGTGTCGGGCGTCTGTGTCAACCACTCAGTGACCGACGAGGCGCCGAAGATGCACTGCAGTGCCGAGGGGGAATGGCTGGTGCCCATCGGGAAGTGCTTGTGCAAAGCAGGGTATGAGGAGAAGAACAACACCTGCCAAGGTAAGGGTCTGCAGGGAGGGTGCTGTGCTGAGGTGATGTGAAGCCTTGGCTTTCTTCTCTTCCATGTCCTTCCTGCCTGGTTGAGTTGACAATGATGGGTCAGGTTCTCATTTCCACTGAGGTCCTTTGAAGGACTGTGACAGCATGGAGAGAGGCCTTGGCCTGATGTAGTGGGGCTTGACACCTGTGTACAGGTCCTTCCCGTGCTTACAGGGCTGTGGACCAGGAGAATCTGGCATGCCACTGTTACCTTTGGAGGACTGTACTGTTGGGTCCATGAGGCAACTGCAATCTTATCTGTTATTTAAAGCCTTACATTACTTTTCCTCAGTATCGGGGTTTCCTTATGAATTTTAGAAGATTGGTTTCTTTTTTCTGGACTGTACCAGGGAATGTTTGAATTTAATTTCCCTATGCAAGATGTGTTTTGTTTTTGTATTTAAAGGAGTATGTTTTTCTCTCTTTATCGCTCTATGGGGGGGTGGAAGGGAATTTGATGTGATGTGAGTTGATTGATTTTTTTTTTTTTTTTCTTCTCTGGTAAATAGTTTAATACAAAGCTGTTCAGCTGTTCAGGATTAAACCTAAAGACCCACTGATAAAAATGCTTCCATATGTGCTGAAGTTTTCATACAAGTAGCTGGCTGAGGTTCCTGCATTGCTGGTCAGCATAGGTCTCCTGAATCATCAGGGGCCTTGTGCAAGAGATCTAGGGTATCTGAAGCTCAAGACCTAAAAAAGAATACTTTTAAAGAAGTGCAGCGTACTCTAAGTGTATAATTTCATTTTATGGTTTGCTGTATTACATACTTGTTTTTAAAATTGGCCCTTCTGTTGTAAATACGTAACGGTTTAAAACCTATTTGGACATAAAAGACAAGGGGAAAGAAAAAAAGATTTCAATGCGGTTTGCTTTTTGCAAAATTGTAATATGTTGGTCATCAGTCCCATCTTAATTGCCTCGTACTTGCAGCCACTTAGTAATAGATAACCTGCGAGGAAGGCCGAGGGATTCTTCTCCAACCGAAGTCGGTGTTGCATTTTCTCTTCACCTCACTTCAGACACTCATGATTGGTGTTTGTAGTGTTGGTGCAAAGGATAGATCAGTGCATATCCAAAGCAAACTGTGGCCTTGATCCTTTAGTCCTTGGTCACACACTCTGTCCCTGAAGATTACATAGTTCAAGTCTCTTCAAGGGCTGACTCAGAGAGAAAATGTAGGTATGTTTGTTTTTGGAGAAACCTCTAGTAACCAGTATGTGGAGTGTGCTTTTTGACTAGGATAGTCGTCTTTTTCTGCAGCTGTAGTCAATACAGCAAAATCTAATTTGTTTTTGCTTTTCCTGTGGCAATAAAGATACTTCTGTTTAGAGGGGAAGAAGAGTCAGACTTGATGTTTGATACTGCACAAGGGGAGCTAAGATCAACATTAGCCCAAGCTGGGGAAATCTAGACTGTCACAGATGGGGGATGTGGGTCAGATAGATCAGCAAGGATCTGCCTCATTATGGCTAAAAACACCATGTCCCAAAATAACAGGCACTGGTTGGGTGCTATGTCTAGACACTGAATTCAGTCACCTGTAAAAATTTTTGGAGGAAAGGGCACATCCATTAGTTACCTTTCAAATCCTGCCCTCCCACGCTGCATGAGCAACATGGGATATCTCAAAGCACTCTTAAAGATCTCAAAAACAATCGAAAAACAAAACACCAAAAAACCCCAAACCAGAAAACTGGAATGGTTTAAACAAGAAACCTGAAAGTATCTTTGAAGAGCTTACTGTGCCTGTAGGGCGGTTGGATCTCTGGTAGTGCTGAGAGCAATCTGGGGTGTGCTTTCAGAAGACCGTAGTGATCTGAGGTTCTGCTTTCCATTTTGGGATGTGGGTTGGTTTTTAAAATTTATTTTTCTTAGTCAATTGAGAGAACGGTGTCTGGCCCCTCAATTTATGACTGTGTTGGGTAGGAGCGTGATTGTAGTTTGGAAGTGTAAAGATGCTTTGTGGCAATATGCCCTTGCTCTTCTGTCATAAGGCATACCTGCATAAACTACGTTTATACTTCACCTACAACCTGCACCCTCAGCAGGAGTTTATCACTTTAATTGCTCTAGAGCTGTTAAAGCCCATAATTCTCATTTGTAGGAAAGCCCTAAATTCCATCACCAGATCAATGGGACACCGGGCTCCGAGTGCCTATGGCAAAGTCTATTTGAGGGCCCCATTTGGATGTCCTGTGTTTAACTCAGGTCACCATGCCAAACGTTTCCTGCTGGTTGGCTCCGAGATGCTCAGTCGATAGGAGACATTCAGCCTTAGGCCGTTCAGGAGGTCTGCGGTCAGCATCTGTGGCATTCATGTGGATATCCTATGCGAGTGAAATGCTTTCTGGGTTGGATGTTGTGATATTCAGAAGGATGAGATTTTTTTCTAGGACGGTAAAATGAAACTTTGCAGCCCGTAAGCAGAATAAGTAATACCAAGAAAGGTCCTGTGTGCTTGTAGGTGCTTTCCCCCGCCCAGCCTGGCTGGTGTTTAGGAAATGTGCTTCATGCTGCTGGCTCACGCAGTGATGGTCTTGGCACTCTGTGGTGTAGCTTTGACAAACACCTAAATAACTTCTGACCTTTGGTTTGTAAATCACTTGGGCACATCTTGCAAGCGGCCTCCCTGCTTGCTTGCAGTTAGGCATACGCAGCTTATTAGTGACCATGCTTTGGGAAACATTTTCAACCCAGAAGAGCCTGGCTTTGTTTATTAAAATTTCTCCTGCAAAGATGACATTTTCCAAGCTCTAGTGTCATGTCTGGACAGAGCAGACTACACTCTCTTATTAGAGGTGATGTAAATACCAGTCACCCTCACAAACATATGGGAACTATTGAAATCCCTTCTGCCTACAAATCATTAATTGGCAACGATGTTCTGAATTCATCATCTTGTCAGCAGGGTTCCTGTTTGAAGAAGGCACTGACAGTAACAGCTGAGCAATTTCTCTCACTGGGGACACTGAGGTTGTAAATATGACATGGTCTAATCTCCTTATATAATGTGCTCACTCTCTCAATTAATATAGGCAGCTAGGTAGTAGTTACTGTAAAGAACCCAAACTACTTGGATTTTTACACCTCCTTTGGCAACATGGCCCATTTATCAGCAACTGCTATGGGACAGCTAGAGGTAAATTGTGACTCTTTTGGGACATGTTTATAAAGGACCAGTGTTAAGGTTCATTATTCACAAGAAGAAATTCCAGTACTAGTTAATAAGAGAAATGAAAGCAGTTGCTCTGAATTTCTATGCTGGTTTCCAGAGCGGTGATTTGGTGCCACTAAAGGACCGATGGTTATTGGCTTTGCCTCGGTTCAGCCGGTGCTGTCTGAACGGGTCCTTGAGGAAATATTTCTGAACATTTTCACTAGCTGGAAAATGCCCAGTTTCAAGTCTGGCCAATTTCAAATCTCCTAATGGTGGTTTCCTCCTTAGCAGGCAGTACTGAACCAGTGTTGAGGGCCAGATCCTAAAATGCTGTAAAACTTGATGTAGTGCCACTGAAGTCTGTCTTTACCAATGTAGGGGTTTGGCCAAATAATTTCTTACCTGCCCCAGCCTATGCTTTCCTTCTTCCTGAACTGGCATAGGTGAGTTTTACTATAACTTCAATTTTAGCTGCTTGCTGTATACAGCAGGGCTCACCATTGGGGTTTGCATAGGAAATGAATAAAGTTACTGTGAAAAGGGCACCTTCTGGCACTTCTCTTTTGTATACATTTTCACATTCAGCCCAAGATGTTCTTGGTGAGAAGCAAGAAGTGCTTATTTTTATGCCTTTAAAGGCTCTGGAGCCCATGCTACTGGTAGGGAGGGGATGTTGACATGTTAAGCTAATGAGACCCAAATACACTTGCAGTGGTGAGGTTCTGCTAGTGACTGGGGGGGCTGCAGAGTGGTAACTGCGGATGTAATTGATTTGCAGAGCCTGATATTTTTTTAGCTGCTTTTAGAGCTGAATCACAAATTAATTAAATATTTGAGTAAAAAGAAAAGAAAAGAAAAACTACACTGAATGAGAACCAAGCTGAAAAGGCGAGTAATGAGTTCAGGAGGTCGCAAGGTTCTTTCCAAGAATCAGTCCATGCTGCTACTTGAAGAGACATCAAAAGGAGTACAGCTGGTTTTAGCCATCTACAAGGTATGGACACGATTACAGGTGTTAGAGGTGGAAAAAATAATGGAGGAAAACTCAGTGAAATCTTTTTCCCCCCTTGCCTTCTTCTGAGGAAGAACTTGGAAACTGAGGACTGGAGGGAGGATGGGTTGGGGTATGGTTTTGTGGTTTTAGAAAGGAATTGCTGTGGAATTGCTGCCAGTGGAAATACTTGGATTTTTTTTGTTTGTAAAACAACTCTAGAATGTTCAAGCCCTTCTGCTGTCTTAAATATTGATGTTTGTTTGATTATTCTTCCCTTAATCAACTTTGAACATACCTCAATGCATTTACAAAACAATATTTATTTTTGCTGATTGTTCATTACTTGTGTTGTGATTCAGCTGAGCTCTTGCCAAGAGAAATGGGAATTTCTTACAGAAAACAAAGGCTGCAGAAAAAACTCATGTTCACAGGTCTCTTATTCTGGATATAATTAAAACTAATTGACATAGGTAGCTAGCTTACGTAGATCAGAAGTTACCTGCTGAATCGGTTCTCAGGTGATTTTGTTGCTGGCTGATTGGCGGTGAAGCAGAGTTACTCATCTTCCTCCGAGAGCAGTGCAATCAGTGCAGACGTTTGAAGGCACTTTCCCAGAGTGGTGATTTGCCCCCCTGTTGATCAGCTATTGGAAGGATATTCGGAGGCAATTGTTTTTTTGCAGCTGTGCAGGAGCAGGCAGGCAGAGGTAGTGACCCTTGGCTGGTGGGTAGCAGAAGGCACTTTCTGTGGAGGGCTGGGAGGCAACTGAGGGCTTGCAAAGGTGGTGATGGCAGAGCCACACTTGA